GTGATTCTTTTAAAAGGCCTGGAGGAGTAATAGACAAATGTCTGATTGTGATAAGTTTGCAAGGGATGGATGGGGCAATGGCGGGGACCTCATAGGATATGAGGGTCAGACCCTAGGCTCTGATAGGGGCTTCACTTCTAAAGGGTGGCTCCATATTCTTGGCATATCACTTGTTACAAAAGTCATGTAAGAAGGATTAATATCCTCACACAATACATCTCATAGTAGCAAAAGCTTTCCCCTTTGTATCCTCTTGGGAGTCATCAGTCTAAGATGCCATTTGTCCATTCTCCACAAGACAGCCAAAGCGATTCCTTAAAAAATCTAAATCAGGTCATGTCTGCGCCCTGCTGGAAGCCTTTCCATCACTTCCCGTCAAAGGAAATCCCATGTGGAGCTGGCAGGAGCAAGCTCCGCATGCTTTAACTTCACCTCTGACCCCTTTCTTTCTTGCTCACTATGCTCTAGCCCAGCGATTTTCAACCTTTCTCATCTCATGGCACATAAACTCATTACTACAATTCTAAGGCACACCAGAAAATATCGTTTTTGCTGATCTGACAAAAAAGGTATAATTTTTATTCATTTAGACAAGACAGCTATTATGTTGGCTGTCATTTTTTAATTTTTATTTGATAATCTAAGGGAGAAGAGGCCAGTTGCCCCTGACTAAATAGTCAGGTATTTCATGTTTTAAGAATTCTTGCAGCACACAGGTTGAAAGTTGCTGCTCTAGCCCCTTGGGCCATTTTGCTCTTCTAACATATGAAACTTTTTTTCCATTGCAGGGCCTTTGCACTAGCTGTTTTCTCTAGATGTCCTTCTCCTGGTTTCCTTTCAGCGCTCCAATCAAATCTTCAGAAACTTGCGATGATCCTATCGGTGATAGTTTGATCTGCCCCCCTATTCCTATATCTACTTCCTTCAAAGCACTTTCATGTTTTGGTTAGTTGTGTACATGCCCCACTCCCTTACAATGTTAGCTCCTAGAGGACAGGGACCAGGTCTGTCTTCTCAGTACTAATCCCCAGCAGTTAGACTGCTGAGTTCCTGTTAAGTAATCGAATGAAGAGCTCAAGCCCACAATGGATTTTAGTTACAGCCTGCAATCAGAGGGAAGCATGATCTTTATTACAAGAACCCGTTTCTTAAGTCTTTGTTTTCATCCCCAAATTTACCTTTATTCTGAGAGATTCAATGACCATGTTGATGACTCATCCAACAATCTAGCCTGGACATTTCTGGACACCCTCCCCCACACGTCCAATTGTCCACTTTCCATTTACTTCACCCACCCACTGCTACATTCATACCTTGAACGTCAATAGTCCACCTGTGAGCATACACTTCTTGACTTCTAGTTTCCTTACTTTCATTCCATTCTGAGGCTCCAAGCATAGGCAGCCCCACTGGTAACTGAGCCAGGGTTCAGCGAGCCAAGATGCCAAATCAGTGGGCAAACACCTGCCACGCCAGGATTCGGGGATGCAAACCACGAGTGCTGCAGGCTTCCAAGAGCAACCTGGACACCAGACCTCAGGCTGTGTTGAACCAGCAATTTAACCCAAATGGACACAGATAAGGGGCAGGGAAGATGTATGACATCAAAACCAAGGAAGGCTCTTCAAGCATAGAGCAGGACTGGAAGACTCACCTAAGGGACCAAAAACAATTCTTAGTGCAGTAGCTGCTGCTCCAAACCATTGACAGACTCCTTAGAGGGGCGGTGGGGAGGAGACAGGGGTGGAGTTGGGGTTCTACTGTGAGATGCAGAGCCCTCTCTTATCTATCACCCGCGACAATCTGACTTCGCCACCTCATCAAATCTGCCTCTTGCCAATGATGTTCTTCCATCCAACTCCAATGGGCAGTTTTCCATCTTAGCCTCTTGGCTCCACTGGCCATTGTTGATTGCTCCCTCCATCTCAAAACGCACTCTCTGCTCTCTGGGCTTCCAGGACACCACATCCCCTAATTCTCTTCTCATCACTTTCCTTCCTATTTGTCTCTGTTGTGGGGTCACTGCTCTCGGTCACCTCCCACCAGGTGCCCCTTGAGGTCTATCCTGTGCCTCCCTATGGTTTTATTTCACATATTCCCTACTGTGATCCCCTTCACTCCATGGCTTCGACTAGCCCTCGGGTTCTGATGACTGCCATGTTCACATCCCTTGCACAGTTCCTTTATGCCTGAGCTCCAGAGTGAGAGTTCAGTAGTCCCTGGATATACCTCCATGGAGCCCTCTCCAGACATCTCAAGCTCAACATGCCCCAGATGGAACTCCTAGGGTTTCCCATCAATCTCCTTCCATCCCAATAGTGCTTATTTCAGTGGGCATTTCCACCGGCCACCCCGACACCTAAGCAAAATACCTAGAAGTTGAACTTAACTGGTTCCTCTCTGTTACCACCCACATCTGTCATTTCATTCATTCATTCATTCATTCATTCAACAAACTATCATCAAGTCCCATTACCTGCCAGATGTTGGGCTAAACAGTGGTAAGTGAAACATAATTTCTCTCTTCATGAAACATATAAACGACTGGCTGACTTGACGTCTGCAGTGTTTCTTCTCTCTGTCCTTCCTGCTACTGCTACTAGCAGTTGGCATGTAAAGGATGCTCAATTAATCCTTATTGGATGAATGAATAAATGAGAAGGAAACTATCTGAACATCTGCTATGTATAGCGCACAGATTATGCCACAGCATTCCGATGTCATTAAAAATATTTCGAAGCTCACATGAATCAATAGAAGCCAAAACATTTGCCCAATTCAGCTGGCAAAGCCCCAGTGGAGGATTAGTCTGTTTTCCATGTGATGTGCAAACACTCAGATGGTCTGGGCTTTCCGTGGAGCTGACGGGGTGTTTTGGCAGACAGGCCCAGCCAGACCAGTCTCCGTCTCTCCCAGGCACGCACATGTCTCTGAGTGGCACAGATGGCCCTCGATTTCTAGAGTTAAGTGTAAGTATAAACTTTGAGGGCTTGTGACCATTTTAATTGACTCATTTCCTCAGTCTTATTAGTGCCATTTAGTTATTTGTGAATATCAGTACACATCCCCTGCCTGTGAAGTCCCAAGACATCAACATGAACTGAGATGATTCACGCTGAAGATGGCACAGGTGAGTGCATCCAGGCAAAACTCGGGCAGCATATGAAATATACAGTGTGATTATTGACTAACAGTGATATGTCTTAAAATAATGACTTGATGATATCAGCAAGTATTTTTTTTAGGAAATTAGCAAAGAAATATTTCAGATATTCCTGTACAATTTTACCAGATCCATCAATCACAGAATAAGATCAAGTATCTCCACCTCTCTCTCTTGGTTCTCAATGATGAGCAGCCAGGTTAGGAACAACTAAGATTAGAACAATTAGGAATTATCCCTGGTTCCACAGCTTAAATAGAAAAAGTTTTTCAAATGGCAAGACAAAAAAAAAAAACCCCAAAAAACATTTAGAGAATGTGATGCAGTTACTGAGGTATTTACGGTGAAGCATGCATTCCTCTCTAAATAACCAGCTTCCAGGCTCAAGCTAACAATAGGCAGAGGAAGCAGAGGGTGCTGTCAGGTGGCCATGCACCCACTCCAGGAAGGACATATAAGTCCATTGTTTTACGTAATAGCAAACTGCACCATGCACACCAGTTCAGGGATGGGAGGAAGTGGGCACTGAAATCAGTGGTAACTCGGTTGGGAAAAATGAAACACAGAAGGAGAGTCAGGACCTAAGGGTTGACCTTCCCAAGGCATGCGGACTGGGTTTGACCTGGGTCTTCTGGTGGAATCTGGCCCATGAGTTACTCCTTTGCCCCGTCACACAGAACTGACTGGAGACAGGTTAAGCTGGCCTCAGAGTGCCCCACCCACCTGTCCGGTGCAGAAGACTTCCAGCACTTTAACCTTTTCCTTTTTAAATGGCCTTAAGCAGACAGACTTTTCTTATCTGTCAGCTAAGGAGAAAAGTCCAGGTCCATGGATTGAAACAGTGAACCCCGTCAGGTCCTCAGAGAGCTCCTGACACTCTGGGTTGGGTTGATTTTGTTTTCAGCGCTCAGCTTTTGCTTGGCACAGGGGCATGCCAGAAACCGTTTCCCAGTCTCATACATACTGGCTTTGTTTGTTTCTTTAGAAAAGGATGCTGGGGTTCTACTCTTTAACTCACATGAATTCAACTGGAGGTGGTGGGCCTGGGCAATGAAAGGGAAAACCCGTACTAGAGCCCAGGTCCTGAGCAAGCGTTCTGGGAACGGGGGCATCGCAGACTTCTCAGGTTCTCTGCCTTGACCAGCCTCAGTCCTCTAGCGCTTCTAGGAGTCTGAGCATCTCATTCGGGTTAGTGGAGTCCTGGTAGTTGAAGAAATGATTTGAGAAATAATTTGGTGATTGGTGATTTACTCCTCATGGACTGACTGTTGGCTCCATCCCTCAGATAAGAAGCAAATTCACACTAAATAGGAATAGAATTACGAGGGCGGCTTTGCAATTTCATGCTACTCCTGAATGCTCTCACCCTCCCCTTGGGCATCACCTGGTGCTGCCTGTCCCAAATCAATGGCGACCTCCTAACTTTAAATTCCAGAGGGCAGTTCAGAACTCCTAGCCTGCCAGCTGTCTAAGGAATGGCATTCCCCTGGACCTGATCATCTACTTCTGTTGCTAGTATAATAATAGGTTTCTCTTTTGCAATGTGGGTCTTTTTTTTTATAATTACAATTCAGCTTCACATGACATTTATTTTGAGTGAGGTAAAAAAATAAAAAATAAAAGGAGAGGGTGTTGAGTACACTCTGGTATTTCATGCATTTCCTGACATTGCACACAAAAGTTATTTCTGTCCGGAGGAGATAGGGTTTGATGATTTGCAATGCTGTTGCTCAGCAGAGAAAAGGTTAAAGATGAATGGGTTATTTCTGGGACCTCTCTGGTGCAGAGGCACCTGCGCATGCCTTTGGCTGACCAGAAGAAGGAAGCCAGGACTTACGTTCTGTTTACCCACGATGTTGTCGAAGGGCAGCTCGGGGCTCCAGGACCCCTCGGTGAACGTCGCCCCGCTGTTCCTCCGGTCCGAGGAGCTCACTGCCTCCTTGACAATGTCTTCGGGCAGCGACAGCAGACTGTCCTCCGGCTGCTGAATTAAATAGGTCTCTATGTTATGCTTCCGCAAGAACTCATTCCTCTCTTTCCCGTGGCCCTCTTCCACATCATAGTCACCGTTGAGGCAGTCGAGGGTGGCTTTGGAAATGTGAATCCTCCTGGGGACACAAAGCGTAGGTCATTATCCACCCCTGACGTGGCCTGGGCAAAGCCAGCATCAGGGCACTGTGAGGTCATGTCCTCGGGGACAATATGTGGGCCCCTGAAAAAATCAGAAAGAATAAAAGAAAACAGAACTCCAAGCAAAAATCAACGAGCAGGGCATCGCTGACTCCACCCCAAGGGACACCGCAGCCTCTGATGAACACAGCCCTGCGGAGCCGCCCCACATAAGCACTTATTTCAGCTTTTCTTGTGACTGTCAGCCAGGTCTTGGCAACCCTTAAGAATCAGTGATTCTTACCAAAAAACACCCAAACAATCCATTTAAAAAATGGGCAGAGGACCTGAATAGACACTTTGCCTAAAAGGACATACGGATGGCCAATAACATAATGAAAAGATGCTCAATGTCAATAATCATCGGAGAATTGCAAACTAAAACCACAGTGAGATATCACTTCACACCTGTCAGAACGGCTACCATCAATAGATGAACAAATAACAGGTGTTGGTGAGGATGTGGAGAAAGGGAACCCTCGTGCACTGTTGCTGGGAGTGCAGATTGGTGCAGCCACTGTGGAAAGCAACATGGAGTTACTTAAAAAATTAAAAATGGAACTGCCTTATGACCCAGCGGTTCCACTTCTGGGAATTTATCCAAAGAAACCCGAAACACTGATTCGAAAGAATAGATGCAGGGTTATTTACAATAACCAAGATTTGGAAACTCAAGTGCCCATCAGTAGATGAGTGGATAAAAAAGCTGTGGTACATTTACACCATGGAATACTACTGGGCCATAGAAAAGAAGGAAATCTTGCCCTTTGTGACAGCATGGATGGGCCTGGAGAGTATCATGCTAAGTGAAATAAGCCAGGCAGAGAAAGACAAGTACCATATGATTTCACTCATATGTGGAATCTAATGAACAAAATGAACTAACAAGCAAAATAGAGACAGACTCATAGATATAGAGCAGGCTGACAGCTGCGGGGGGTGAGTAGGTGCTGGGTAAAGGGATTGAGCAAAAAAAAAAAAAAACCAACCAAAAAATTCATGGACACAGAAAAAAGCAACGGTCAGTGATTTCTTTTTTTTTCCGTGATGTTGATTATATTGGGAAAACAAGTTCCATAAATGTTTCTGAACCCAATGGCAATTTTTGTCCAAAATCACCAAGCAACAATGATAGTTCTCTTGTCGTCTTGCCTTGTTTCTTCAAGTCGTTTAAAATCATAAGAAAAAGACAGGCCTCACAAGACCACAGAGAAGCTTTCCCTGACCTGTGTGCACGGCAAGGAGTGGAGAACAGAGCTGTGGCCAGCCTCACTCACAAGGTGAGTGACTCACTCCTGCACAGTCATCAGCCACTGCAGCTCATGATTCAAGTTTCTTTTTTAGCAAAAGAACAGATGACATCAAGGGCCTTAAGGCTCACACTGGAATCGTGGAAATTTCACATGGTGAATCATTCTGGAGGGTTTTCCGGTGTACTCCTGTCTAACTCACCCAGACGCCTTACAGTGCCATAGTGTGCTGTGGGTAGCCTAGCACGGTGGTTATGGACATGAACTCTTTGGCTGCATTGTGGGATCAAAACCCTGGCTCTACCACTTACTTGCTAGCTGATAGATCTTGGGCAAGTTACTTAATCTTTCTATGAGTCTATTTTCTCATCCACGAAAATGGGAAAAACAATAGTACCCACTCGGTGAATGAGTCCACAGTCAACCACTGAGCCATATCGGCCAGACACATTGTATTTTTAGTGCTATTTCTACTTCCTTCTTACCCATTCTGCTCAATTCCTGCTCATAGAGAGAATAAGTCACTGCAGAGGACACGTGAAACACCCATAAACTACCAAGGATGCATTTCTGATCCTGCAGGCACATTCTCCACCTTTTCCAAAGTCTCAGCCTTGCATACAGTCACTGACTTCTAGGGTCAGAATACAAAAACTGAAACATGTAAAGATATTTGAGCTCTCTTCAGAAACACGCTGAATAAGCACGGAATGTTCCCATAGTGGATTTTGTCAGTCTATACTCAGTAATGTTGACCTCGGGGAAGAGAAAGGTCATTTGACCTCCTATGAAATGGTTGTCCCAGACCTGTCTCTCTGGTCAACCTCAGAGCTAGGGCTAGAAGGCCGTCTTTTTCTCTCAGGCACAATGAAACCCCCAGAAGGGTAGTCAAAGCTATGATATGACTGGCTCCATGCATCATCTTTATAAAGTCTGATGGCTGATCTTCTCTTAAGATAATTAAGTTAAATGCCAGCCCCCATTTGGTATTTTCTCTGGATTCTGCGTTTTATTACCCTGCATCACTGCGCAGGGGGAATAGTATTTGCACATACTGAATCAATATTATGTTTCCTGTAGGGAAAGACATCCTCACCTTCATTCATTACTGAGTCTTCTGCTCAAGTTCCAATCAATTTACATTTACACGTTTTGATAGAAACAGGGCTTTAGAGGTTCCTTGGATCATGGCTGCTAGCTGGGGTTTTGGAGTAAAGACTGTGCGGACGAGATTCTGGTGATTACGTTTATCTACGGAAATGAGTCAGGCAATATTCCCATATATTGACTGTCAGGCAAACCTGATATTTTCTGATAATTTTAAATGCCAGGATATAATAATGATAGTCATGACAGTAAACATGATCTAACCATTTGGTAACACTTTATTTTGCATAAATGATATCTGTAGTCAAAGCTGTTATGACATGACTGGCTCCATGGATCATCTCATAGAATTTCCCTCTTCCTGATAGGCACCCCCCCCCCCATTTTGCTGATGATAAAACTGGCCCCAAGACCAGGAGTAAGTACCTGGCCCAGAGTCACATCACTGGGAGGTCACAAGCAGTGCTGGAGGGAGACAAGGACTTCAAGGTCCTTGTAAGACCCTACATGTGTGTCACATGGTAACTGCTACAAACACAACCACAGTGAATGTTTACTGGGCACAGGACCAAGGACTTGATATGCATTTTCTCATTTAACTAAAGCTGGAGAACAGTGGTCCTCAAAGTGTGGTACCAACGCCAGCAGCATCAGCATCACTTGGGCACTTGTTGGGAAGACACAGTCTTTGTCCCGCCCCAGACACATTAATCAGAAAGTCTGAGGGTGGGGCCCAGCCGCCCAAGGTTTACCACACCCTCCAGGTGATTCAGATTCCAGCACAAGCTGAGAATCGCTAGTCTGGGAACCCACGGCTCAGAGAGACTGAAGAATTTGTGTGGAGCTACATGGCTGGTGTCTGTGGCAGGGAAAGGATTTTAATTCAATTCTGCACGACTCCAGGGTCCAGGCTGTCAACCATTACACAGTGGGGTTGTGTGCCTCCCTTCCTTCCTTTCTTTCATTCCTATGTGCCAAGCATCGTGCCAGGCTCTTGGGGACACATTGAAGGCCTGGAGATTAATAATGAAAGGTCAGCCCTGAGCAAACTGGACTGATGAATTAACAAGGGGAGGCAGTAAAGTTGGTGAGGCCCTTCATAACATTTACTGTGTGGGGCGTTGAAAAATTAAATGATGTGATGTAGTAATGATATTTAGCAGACTGGCTAGTTCATAGTAGGTACTTAATACATGTTCAGAATCGGGGGCAAACTCTCTTACTGAAAGGAAAAGTAAGCTTAGTTTATTCCTATATATATGGATTGATAGGGATGGGAAATAATCAACATTTAAAAAGCCATTTGGGCTTAAAAGAAAAATATAAACCCCAAAATCTCAGACCATGAAGGGTTCTATCTTCTTCCAAATAATTGCTTTTAGACCTATACCCCTGAATTCTGCACAGGGGAAACCCGCTCCCACAAAGTGGCAAATGACTAGGGTTAGGAGTACGAGGGCTTTGCTCTGGCTTACCCAGGGATCCCTCCAGATTCAAGTTTGTTCGCAATATCCACGTCCCAAGACCAGACGTCAAACTGCCACTTCCGCAGGCCCAACACACCACACAGCACTGAGCCCGAGTGGATTCCGATTCGCATGTCGACGTCATGCTTCGTCCTTGACCGCACATACCTGTTGACATAGGTGAATGGAGAGATACACATGTAAGGCCAGAGTGGGCCCACGTTCTACACGGTTATCCCAAACACAGTGGGACCTTTTCGCACCATCCCTCCCTTGTTAAAAACTCTTTCCTGGCCTCCACCTCAGAGCAGGGGTCGCCAGAGCAGAGCACTCACGTTCCTGGGCTGAGCTGGGTCATCTGCTCGGATGCAGGAAGACAATGTCACCACTCCCATGCGAGCTTTTGTTTTTATCTTGGAAAAGCTGCACTGAAATTTGATATGTGGGTTGACCTTAGCAACCCTACAGGGCCTGGGCTGGCCTGTCCTCTGACCCTGAGCATGGAGGAGGCCTCTTGAGAGAAGAGAAAGATTTCTGAACACACATTCCTTCTTCATTTTCAGAGTATTTCAAACAATTTCAGTTTATGAGTTAAATAACACCATTTATGTAGGAAAAATTCAACTGCTAGGACACAATACTTTGAAATATAATAACTAGAAAAATCTTCAGCGCCACATAGAAATTCAATTGTTATTTTACTTCAAAATGCTTAACAGAGTTGTTAAAATTAAAGATGATTTATCCGTTTTTCATTGAAAAAGAAAAACCACAAGTGTCCCATATGTGTTGCTTTTCTGTGATAATAGGTTGCTATTAATATTCTCTCTAGCAAACATTTGGGGAAAAACCCAACTTGCTTATTTTGTTTCAAGATGGCAGTTTTAGAAGGTGAAAGTAATTGCTTTTCACAAGAAATCTGTGCTCTGAAGAGAGGATTTTGAAAAAGGAAGTTTGGAAATGTTGCCATCTCCTCGGGAACTAGGCTGTCAAACATGAGTTATGTCATCTATCAAAATACTCAGAGCTGCACATTCACTAATATGTTTTCAGATCTTCCAAATGAAATGTGTTGGTGGGGGTTGTACCCATTTGTTAAAAATATCAAAAAGCTATTGCCTTCTAATGAGTTTGCAAGAAAAACTCAGAGCTACCAGAGAAGCAAATTTATGACAAGCCTTATACAGAACTTGGGCATAACTGACTTAAAAATACAGTCAGTGGTCCAAGGGCGCCCCCTAGATCTCCCTGTCTTTATGAAATACATATTTAAATCTGATAGCCAATAGAGACAGGTATAGAAATAAACTGAATTTGGAACCTGACCTTTATATTAATGTCTCACAAACTATTAAGATTCTTTAAATAGAATAAATTATGTGCAAACCCATTGCTCTCACTAAACAAGAGAACAGAAAGATTTTAGTACAACAATTGAATTAAGATATTTAAAATTATTATTTATTTCATCATTATCCTTTAAAACATGTATGTTTTATAGTATGCGTGAATATAATAGAATAGATAATAAGTACAGTTTATACATAATAACAATAATTATTATAATTATTTTGGATAAAGAGGGGAGATCAAACTGGAAAATTCCCGGTCGGAACACACAGTCCTTCCCGATCTGTCCCTGGGCCTAAATTATTAGTCTCACTTCTCACGCGCCCATTGGACTCCAGCCTTTCACAGCAATTTGTTGTTGCCTGAGCCTGTGTTTCTTCTGGCCTAGGGATGCTCCCTCAGTCTGGAATGTCCATTTCCTCATTTAACTGAAGCCTCGATTATGTGCCTTTCCCAGTGTTCCTGTTGCATCCCATATGAGCAATACGCGAGGTGCTGCACTGTAACCATCTGTCTCCCCTACTGGATTTTAAACTAATTGAATTGAGGATATGAACTTTGCATGGCTCAGTGTCATAGACCCCTCTTCCCAACGTACTGTCTGGAACTTGGCCAACACTCAATAAGTGTTTATTGAATGGAAGGGTGGATGGATGAATGGATGGGTGTCATGTTCCCACATATCTAAGTTCTCTGATGAACAGTATAAGCTCCTTGAAGGCAGTATTCTGAGTAACCCTTGTATCTCTCACAGCCTGAAGGATCATGCCTCTCATAGAGCTGGGCTTAGAAACATGCCTCCCCTTTTAGGGAAAGAGTAAGTGAATGAATGATTCCATGTGCAAACCGCGTCTCTGTATTCTCTGTTCCCAACAGGCTGTGAGATCATACAAAGTTATTTAAACAAAAAAGTTGATGTCGGTTGAGAAGATTAAAAATATTGAAATAAATTAGCTATTAGGAAGGAAGCCAAAGAGATTAGAAAGAATGCTTGTAGCTAAAGGGTGAGACGATTCTTGTCCCTGGTGAAGATTTTAGTTTCTGGGCCATGGTTTTGACTTATAAATTAAAAACTATACAGTTCCCTTTATCCACTGATGATGAAAAGAGTCAGGGCCATTTGGAAACATTTAACAAATCAAGAGGAGAAACAGCATCAGCATTGGAGAGGAGCATTTCAGTGTCTGTAAGGCAGGTCATTGGGAGAAGTCACCTGTGCTGTCCACCAACTATATCTTGTGCTGCAACATCCAAGCACATAGTAGGATTGCACTTTCCTATATATTCCATGTTACTTTGGCCAATAAAATGGGAGCAGTAGTGATATGAGTCACTTCTGAGTAGAAACTTTAGAAGTCTGGTTAACCACACTCCTTTGTTTTTTCTTCTGTGTCTACCATCAATCAATGACGTTGGAGATGGAGCCTTCTTAACCAGGGTTCTTGAATGAGGCAATGTATTGTGGTGCCCTGCTACTCACCCAACCCTCCCATAGTGGACAGGAAATGAGAGCAAAAAATAAATCTTTGCTATTTTAAAGCACTGAGATTTGGGAGATGTTTGTTACTTCAGCAGAACCAGGACTATCCTGACGGTTACAATCACCAGTCTCACTCCATGTTCTTCTCATTACATGTGAGTCACTGGAGTGTAGAGGTTAACATGGACTCTAGGGCCAGTTGACATGAGGTTATATCTTGCTCTTCCATTTATTAGCTGTAGGACCTCAAGTAAGTTACTTACCTTCTATCTATAAAATGGGAATAATAATAGCATTGTCACATTAGGCAAATAAACATATGTGGAGAGTTGCAAATAATGTCTGGCACATACTGAGTACTACTTCGCTGCTTTCCATATATGAAGGAACTGCAGCCCAGGAAGGTACAGGATTTTATTGTGGTCACATAGGATTCTAGGACTAACCTGGGGCTGTTGTGTTTGTAAACCTCACGCTCTTTGCAACGTGGCGTGTGATCCTTGACATATAGCTTAAGGTGACCTTGAGTTTCAGTGGTTGTAAATAAAGCTCTAGCTGATTGCTTCACATACAGAGCCCTGGTGGTGAGTCCCACAGGAGATAATGGATGTTAGAGTGCTTTGCTGACTAATTGTGAGGGACGAGTACACAGCACACCATGCCAGTGCCATTAGGTAATTAACATTACACAGGGAATGCACTGGAACATCTCAATGAAAAGACACTTCGATTTTTTTTTTCTTCTGCAAAAGAAAAATCATAAGAGACAAAATCTCTTTATGGCACCGTTTTCTTTCTTTTTGTTATGTCTGGGATTTGGCTTACATAAAAGATAGGAATGAAACTATGTAAAAGTAATGAATAATTCACAGACGCTGGTCCTCTCTGGGAAGCCTACCTGGTGGTCACACAGAGCCACCGACACGCACCACGTGTTTCAGGTTCTCCAGGGGAGGACCTGGGAGCATCTTCCAAGTGAGAGGGGAGCACATTCTGCTGAGTTACAAATTGTGTTCCGTTCTTCCAGGGATGTCAGCTGTGCCTCCTCAGCCACAATAAAGAGAAAAAGACTAGAGATCGCCGGCACTATAAACACCTGCACCCTCTCTTTCTTCTCTGGGGCCTCTGAGCTTCTGGAGGGCAGGGAACTACCTTTCATTTCCACACGCCCAGCATGTAGCACAGCGCTTAGCACAGTGGCATCGCCAGTGCTCTAAGTAGTCACTGAATTGATGGACACGGATCAAAGGCTCTCTTGCTTCACAGTCCTCTGTTGACCCAAGATGCATCTAAGGGAACCACAGAGATGTCTCTGGACCTGCCATTTGGGGAGTGGGGGTGACCCTCCACATCTGACCCCTTCAAATAATGCACCTTTGCCTTCCCAGTTTTTGTGTTGCATTTCTAAGATTTCTTTTAAATAAGGAACCCACTTAATAATAATAATAAATTTTTTGAAGCTCTGTATCAAGCTGGGAACCAATCATGCAAAACTTAACCAGCAAAAGATTGAAGATCATATTCCTTTTCATTGAACTGTTAAAGAGGAATGCTTGGTATATGGTCAGAGATGAAGGACCTTATGCCCTGGCTGGTTTTGCTCAGTGGTAAGAGTGTCAGCCCGCCCAACCAAAGGGTCACGGGTTTGATTCCCGATCAAGGGCACGGACCTCGGTTGCAGGCTCAATCCCTGGCCTGGGTCAAGGTTCGTGCAGGAGACAACCAATTGATGTGTCTCTCTCGCATCGAGGTCCCTCCTCCTCCTCCTCCTCCTCCCCCTCTTTCTGAAAATAAATAGAAAACTGAGGTTAAAAAAAAGATAAAGAACCTTAGAAATTTTGCTTTCAATTTAAGTGCTTTAAGTGGTTCTTTTTGGCTAATTAACCCGTCTACAGAAGGTGCTGGAGGAATGACAGGAGGAATAACCTAGTAGCCGCCCTTGGTCTGTCGGTGAGACTCTCTCCACTGTGAAATGCCTGGATGAACAGGGAGACTTCAGCAGGGTAGCTTGCAGGACTGTGGGGTGGAGAACACCCAGCTCCTCAGCTCTGGGGGTGGAGACAGGAGTTCCAAGCTGGACCCACCACTGGCTGGTTGTGGAGCTGGAGCAACTGCCATAGGCTTGCTCAGTGCAGAGCACTCACCGGCACCAAGGGGCCTGGGATCTGCATCAGTGCAGCCTGGAGTGCGGGTGGGATTCTCCACTCACTGGCTGTAGGCCCTGGGCAGCTGCTCTATTGGTGTCCAAGTCCCAGTTTTCTCAGGGGCGATGGGAGCGAGCACCAGTCCTCCGCAGAGTTGTTAGCATGGTTTATCAAATCATGTGTATAAAGCACTT